AACTGAGTCTTCATTCAGCAGTCTTCCATGTTGCCTGGCAGTCTTGGGACTGTTTCTGGATTTGAACTATGGCCTACCATGTTGCTTGATAATCTTGGGACTGTGCCATTTTACTTGCCGACTTTGAGTTTGTCAGCCTCAGTAGCCATCAGCTGCCTGAGTTAAGAGATGCCTCCAGCTCCAGTGGGCCGAGAGCAAGAGGCAGGGCTGAAGCCCAAGGCCACGGGGCCTTCACCCAGCCCCTAGACCTTGCACTTTGAACTCAGACTTCTACTCTCCTACACTGTAAGAGAATAAACCCCCGTTTGTTAAAATCATCTGTTGGCACAGCACTAGGTAACCATAACAATGTGTGATATAATTGATACAAAACAAACAAACAACTTTTATTATTTATTGAGTCCCTGCCATGTGTCCTAATCTGTCTTGTACAGCCAGAATGCTCCTTGGATGCAAGGATGGTGAGACTTCATCTCATGTACTTTGGACATGTTATCAAGAGGGACCAGTGCCTGGAGAAGGACATCATGCTTTGTAAAGTAGACAGTCAGTAGAAAAGAGGAAGACCTTCACTGAGATGAATTGACAGGGTAGCTGCAACAATGAACTCAAACATAGCAACAATTGTGAGGATGGTGCAGGACCAAGCAGTGTTTTGTTCTGTTATGTATAGGGTTGTTATGAGTTGGAACCAACTGCACAGCACCTTACAACAATAACAACACCATGTTTCCTGAATTACTAGAGCAGAAGGTGTGGGATATGTTGGGATCTGGAACTTAGTTTTTGAAGAAATAACTTCTCACCTCATTTATAATTAGGCAATTCTGGAGCCCACTGAATTTTGGGGGCATCAGGGACCAGGCTTATCTCAGTTAAGTATATGCTGCTTAAACCCAAGTGGTAGCTCCCCAAGGGGATAAGATACATTTCTGAGGTTCGGAAAAAGTGTTATGTATGGGTACTTTTCAGTCTAACCTCTGGGTGGGTTAGTTGGGTGGCTGGAAATACCATCTGGCTCTTGCCTGGAGTGCACAGCCAATTTTCTTCTTACACTTTACTCTGGTGGAAAGGCTTCCAGTACCAGGAGATAGAGTTCCTGTCATAAGTGACCTGGCATTTTCAGTCATAACTCCAAAGTGTCATGGCAAGTAAAATGAGCTCTGGGGAAGTACCTCAGTCTCCCCTTTCTGAGAAACCCATCATCTCTGTTTCCTTGTAGTTGATCTTGTGGAGTTTGGCCCAGCCCTTATTTCTCAGGGAGCCCAGACAGGTCATACTTGTGCTGATGCTGTGATTTCTTCACCTGAGCTTTACAATATCTTCTGGCAGGAGGAACTGGCTTTCTTTCATTGTCATATGGTTGTCACACCCCACGAAGGAAGTTGGAGCCTCCTTGTGCTCTCCAGATAAATGACCCAGGCTCTGTCAGAGTTGGTCAGAGCTCTTTGAAGCTGCTGGAGCTGTGATTCTGTTCCCTGGACTTCTCATATAGTTTCTTCTTATCAGGTAGACCTGGTAGATGGAAAGTCCTCTGGCTCTGGACGCTTTTCTCTAGCTGTGCTTTGGGACTTAACGATGGGCTGGCTCAGTCAGTGCTTTGTCCTGTGAAGGACTAGCTACTTCCCAGTGAGGAGTTGGTGGGGTCCTGGCAGAATTGCTCTGGTATGGGGCCCTCCCCTGCTCCCAGGTTTCCACAGCAGCTGTTGACAAAGGGAGTGGCTCCGAGAGGAAAACATTGGCATTAGGAGGTTGTGGGGTATTTAGGGTCAAAAGTAATGGGAAGCCTTCGATCTTCTAGGGAGATAGTGTTACTGGATGGATTCCTGGGTGAAGGAAACTTCAACCTGATCTCCTCTCCTTGAGGCTGCTTGAGGTTTAGTCCTGGGAGAGTGGCTCAGATCTTCTGACAAGAACTTCATGTCAGGCCAGGCTTCCCATCACCCTGTCTAGAATGAGGGCCTCCTGGGAAGAGCTTGTAAATGTCTTTTGAGGCTCATCTCTACTATCTCTGTGTTCACAGGTGCTAAGACAAGCCCACCATGACAGGCATTCGAAGAAACCCTGGTCATACACCATCCTATCCTCAGGGTAATGTTGGGATGGGGCTCTCAAGGACTATACTAATAGATGCTTCCTCTGGACACCCCAGAATTCTCTGCCCCTCTCCATATATGGCCCTTACCACCTGGTACTCTCCTTTTTCCACTGAGCTTTTAGAAGATGAGAACAATCCTTTATTGACCAGTGTGGCACCAGTCTATCGCACAGGGCCAGGCACAGAGTAAGACATCAAAAAAGTGGCTGGCCTTAACACACATTTACTATGGGAATACTTACACATTTCTGTCCTGATAGTTTCCTGTCTTTACTGGAAAGATAGGTTGGGCTGGTGGGTCATGTTAGCATAATCAGTCTTGGTGGGTAAGCCTTTCTTACTGAAAGGCTTAGATTACATTCTCTTTCTCCTGGTGTCCACTAAAGCAATCTTAATCAACATATCTCTTCATTATGCCTTTCCATTTAAACAGTGATGATTCATCCTCAGACTGTGCATATCTCAGATTTGAATCACCAGGTGTGGATCGTTCAGGGTCAGACCCTTGTGGCAATTCCACAGAGTGAAAATGTAGTTCCAGGTAAGTAGTCATCCTGTGCCTGCTCTCTCCAAGGCACACAGTCCCTCTCATGGCTGCAGCTGTGATGCTGATACTTATCCTCTTTGTTAAAGTGGGGCTTTACTATGGAGCCCACCTGGAGGAGGGAGGGTTTTATAGCTGTCTGGAAATAGAAATGTGGGAGGGGTTTGTTTTATCAGACTAAAGAAATCAGAAATACTAGAGGAGCCGCCTGGGGAATAGGAGAGCTGCTTTCAGTGATTGAAAGGCTTGTCCTGTGAAAAAGGAGTAGCTTGTTCTGTGTGACTTCAAGTTCTCTTGAAAGGAGAACAACAGGTAGTCCCTGACTGAGGATGTATTCAAGTTAGGAAGAATTGCACTTATGACCATTTATTTTTCTGTTTTGTTTTGTTTTATATCTTAATGTCAGTAATATGTACTACATACCTCATTACATCAAATAATTTGCTGATGTTATCATTCTCATGTCAACACCCAAAGACAAATAAAGATTGGATTTATAAAGATACTGATAATAAAAGGAAATAATAATGAAAACTGAAAAAAACAAAAGCAATAACAGCGATTGACTTATGTTAGAACTGAATTAGGATGAAGTTGATGGACTGGAACACCATCAGGGGACTACCTGTAAACGGGTGAATATAATAGGGAGGCAATTTTCAGCACCACAACAGGAAAAATTTGCTAACTAATGGACAGATCTCTTCAAGGATGAAAAGGCTTTCCAGGGATGGAGAGCGCCACTCTTCAGATGTTCAAGCAAAAGTGTGAAAAACTCTTTTATGTTTGTTCCAGTACCTATGGTGGTGATTGGCACATGGTGCAATTGAAAGAATATGGTGTTTGGTCATTTGATGGGACCAAGGTAGCAGAGATTATGCTCTTAAGGTCTCTTCTTCTAACCTCAGTTAGAAGATGTTATCCAGGTAAATCAAAGTGTCGTTTCTTGATTTCAAAAGGAAATGATATTATTTCCCCCTTTTAAACTTATAGCCACTGTCACTCTTGTCCCATGCAAGTATCCAGAGCCTTTAGAGCAAGGCAAAGGGACTCCAATTTATTTGGGAATAAGGAATCCAGAAATGTGTCTGTCTTGTGAGGATGTTGGAGGTCAGCCCACATTGCAGCTGAAGGTGAGTGCCTTAACAAAATAATGTAAAAAATGCCAATTTCTTTTACAAGAATTGTGGTAGAAAATCTAATTTTAGAATTTAAAAAAGAAGTAGTCTCATTTTCCTCAACATATTTATTTCTAGCTCCTTTGAGTTATGTGTATGCAATAAGATTTTATTTATCCTGCCCCTCACTAATTGAGGACTCCTACTTTTCTTCAATTTGAGGACATTCTCAAACACTGGTTCTTCAACTATATTCTCTTCTCTGTACTTCTTTTTTTGCCTTCTCTCTACATTCTGCTTTATCTATCCTTTTGGAATTCCTATTCATTAGTCATTGAATCTCACTTCAATAATTCAACAATTTTTTTCATACTTATATTATTATTATTGGTGCATTCTAGGAGAATTTCCTTGTTTTCAGCTCATGATAGCATTTTCAGCCTTGTCCTGTCTGCAAAATCATCTTTCCATTGCACTTTCTTAAACTGCAATCTTTACTGTTTTGATTTCCAAGCTCTCTAGTTGATTCATTATATAACTCCCTGTGCTTCTTCCATACACTTTAATTTAATTCAATTCAATTCAGCAAATGTGTGGGTATGTATTGGCTCCAGCACTGTTGTAGGTCTTGGGATATATCAATGCACAGAATGACAGAGTCCAGATTCTAGTGGAAGGAAAGAAATGATACACTATATATATATGTTGTTGTTGTTGTTATGTGCCGTCGAGTCGGCCCCGACTCATGGCGACCCCTCCTTGGGTTTCCGAGGCAGTATCACTAAGGAAGTAGGATTGCCCAACCTTCCTTCCGAGGAGTGGCTGGTGGGTTTGAACCGCCAACCTTCTGGTTAGCAGTCAAGTGCTTTAGCCACTATGCTACCAGAGCTCCTATATATATATAATAATAGGTAAATATGTGACATCTTAACAGCTATTACATCTTTGCAAAGGCATAATTAGAGCAAGAAAAAGAGACTAACAATACCAGAAGACAGAAGTGGAATCAGATTGCAGTGCTAAATAGTGCAGTAGGCTTCATTGGAAAGCTAATGCTTCAGTAGAGAGTAGAAGGAGGCAGGGAACTCTGGTGGTGTAGTGCCTAAGACATTTGACTGCTAACCAGAAGGCTAGCAGTTCAAACCCACCAGCCACTCTTTGGAAGGAAGACTGGGTGATCTACTTCCATAGTGATACTGCCTTGGATGAGTTAGATCTGACTTGACGGTAGTTAGTTTGGTGTTTTTTAGTTAGAAGGAGGCAAGGGAGTTAGATAGCATGATATCCAGTAGGAACATGTCCAAGGACCAGTGAAGAAACCTGTTGGGCAGGAATGAAGATAGGAGGAGTTCAGTTAGAAAAAGGCGGGTTTGGAAGGTATTGCAGATTGAATTGTGTGCCTCCAAAATACGTATTGGAGTCCTAATCCCTATACCTATGGATGTAATGCCACTTGAGAATAAGGTTTTCTTTGTTATGTTAATGAGGCCTTATCTGTGTAGAGTGTATCTTAAACCTAATGATTTTTGTTTTTTTTTTTTTAGATATAAAAAGAGATTAGACACAGAGATAAACAAGTACAAATGGGGAAAGATATATGCCACATGGAGATCACCAAGAAATAAAGGAATGCCCAGGTGCCCTTCTAGCATTCTGATCTGTGAAAAAAGTTCTGTTCTTTAAAGCCATCTTCTTATGGTATTTCTTTTACAGTAGCACTAGGAAACTAAAACAAGGGAACAGGTCATGAAGGGTCTTGTCTGCTATTGTACTTTACCTTTTAATCTGAGTGAAATGGAAAATCATTGGAATGTTTTGAATAGGAGAGTGGGCATGAACAGATTTACATTTAAAAATGATCACTCGCTGCTCTCACTGCTGTCAAGTCAGTTCTGACTCATAGCAACCACTCCCTGGGTTTCCGAGGCGGTATCTCTATGAAAGTGCTAGTTGAGGACAAAGGTGAAACTTCTGAAAGAGGCTTTTGAGGTTATCTGTGTGTGATTTGTTGTACTAGAGGGTAGCAGTGGAGATAGGGAGAAGTAGAACAAATTTTGGATATATTTTGAAGCCGAGGCCACAAGATTTGCTGATAGAGTGAATGTGGAATGTGAGAGTAAGGTAGGGGTCAGGGATGGCTCTAAGTATGGAGTTTCCATCATCTGAAAAAGGGTAGAACAGGCTTTTTGAGGGAAGATCAGGAGTTTAGTTGGACATGTTAAGTCCGCAAGGTCTGTTAGATGTCCAAGTGGAGAGATGTGAATTAGGCTAGAAGATACACAAATTTGGAGCTCAGAAATGTGGTCTGAGGTTAGAGATATGAATTTGGGTATTATCAAGGTATATATAGAATTTAAAGTCATGAAACCTGATAAAATCACCAAGACAGTAAAAGTACACAGACAGAAAAAGTAGATAGTAGTAAATGTAGATCTGAGGACCAAGCGTTGAGACTGCAACATGAAGGGTTGGGGAGAAAAGGAAGAGCCAGCAAAATACTATGAGAAGAAGCAACAAGCAAGGTGAGAGGAAAGCTAGTTGAGTGTGCAGGAGGGAGGAAAGTGTATGAGGGAGGAGATGTGTCAAGTGCTACTGTCTGGTCAATAAAATGGAGACTGAGAATTACATTTTCAGCTATGTTTTGTTTGCTAAGCCACTCTTCTACTGTGTTCTAGTCCTTAGACAAGGACTGAGAATTGGTCATTGCATTTGGCAATATAGAGGTCATTGATATACTTGATGAGAGCAGCATCGATGCAGTGCTGGGGGCAAAAGCCTGCATAGAGTTAGTTTAAGAGATGAATTAGAGGAGAGAAATTAGACATCAAATACAAGCTACTTCAAGGACTTTTCTGTGGTGGTGATGGTGGGTAATCAAATACCTTTACCTTTTTTAAGGTGGTAAAAATGAGAACAAATTCTGTGCTGATGGGAATGATTTCATGGAAGAAGCAAAACTGATGGTGCATGAGAAAGAAAGAATGACTGGAAGAGCAGCTTTAAGTAGGAGAGTACATATGGGATTTGTTGCCCAGGTAGAGGGATTGGCATTAGTGGAGATTAGGCATGGCAAGTCTGTCTTGGGCAGTAAGGCATGGGTGTGGGTGAAGATGCTGCTCAGGGCAAATGTTATTGTGCAGTTTATAGCAGTTTATTTTAGTTGTTTCCATTTTCTCTGTGAATAGGAAGTTCAAAGACAGGATGGGAGAAGGTACTTGTATTTGAAATAAAGCATTCTTTCATTTATTAAACAGTCAACAAATGTTTACTGAGTAGAAAACCAGGAACTTTTCTATATGTTGAGGAATACACTGAAAAACATTCTAACAATAATTACATAATCAACAGGTAAACATGTTAAGTTCCGGTGGAAGTTGGTAGTAATGTGTAAAATAACTTGGCTATGAGAGAATGATGGGTGGTAGTCACGATATTTAGAGGTCGTCTTTGGCTAGGTTGTTCAGTGATGTTCTACTGGAAGAGGGGACATTTGAGTGAGACCTGAGTAATGGGAGAAAGCCGGTCACGGGAAAATGTGCATGCAGTGTCCAAGTGGCATGAGAACAAGAGTTAGGACTCTAGGAGCAGAAACACATTGGTCTCTTCAAGGGAAAGAAAATAACTAAGTGTGACTGTAGCATAGAAAGTGTGTAGGACAGTGGTGGGGGTAAGGATAGTGAGTTAGCAAGAGCTAGATGTTGTAGACCCTGTAGACTTTGTTAAGAAGTTTAGATTTTATTGTAATTACAATAGAAACTCATGGAAAGGTTTTAAACTAGGATCATCATCATCTTTTTTTTTTTTTTTTTCATCTTAAAGTTTGCTCATCTGCTTTGTGGAGAATTAAAAAAAAAAAAAATCTCACTGCCATTGAGTTAATTCCCTTTTGGGTTTCTGAGATGGTAAATCTTTTTATGGAAGTAGATTGCCCAGTCTTCCTTCTGCAGAGTGGCTGGTGGGTTTGAACCTCCAACCTTCTGGTTAGCAGTCTAATGTCTTAGGCACTATACCACCAGAGCTCCTTGTGGAGAATAATAATAATAATAAAAACCCCAAACTCATTGCATCCAGTCAAATCCAATTCAGTGGACCCCTCCTTGGGTTTCTGAGGTGGTATCTCTATGGAAGTAGATTGCTCAGTCTTCCTTCCAAGGAGTGGCTGGTGGGTAGATGGTAGGAAAGTAGAGTAGGGCCAAGGAGAACCATTAGAGCATCATCTCAATCATCCAGGGTTTTGACTACCCTCAAATTGTGTGGGGTAACTGGAAGTCATTAAATGAATAAAGGAATTTTATGGGAGAAGAAATCAAGAAATACTTATTTTACTTAAATATATGGTATATACTGTAAAAATGTTCTTCCATACACAATGTAAAAGTATTTCTTGATTTCTCTATTTACTTTTTTCCTTTCACTGCAAGTCCCTTGAATTATTAAGCTTTGTTTTGTCTTTTTCATGGCATTGATTTTTCCATATGTTTGAAAATTTGTCAGAGATCACCGGGCTGTCCTTTGCCATGGCAGGGTCTTGCAGGAGGATGTCTGTTTTTGAAGTTTTGATAAGGGAAGTCTTTGGCTTATATCTTCAAATTAGCATCTTCTCCTTTTCTAGAAGATCCCTTCAGCCTATAATGTGAGGAGAGTTTCAGTTCATTGTTCAAGTGTGGCCCCTTGTTCATTCACTTGTCCCTTGTATCTTTCCAAAGTTGGCTCTGGATTTGAAGATGGATGCTGGGAAAGTGAAATTTTGCATGTGCTCTCTCTGCTGCTCTTTTCTGGGCTGGCTTTACTAGATGGAGAAGGCTTTCTTCAACTTTGAAACATTCATTGGTTGTGTGGTGTAGGTGTTCAGCCAACAGGACCATCTATTGTTTGAGAGTTAAGCCATGAAAGTGAGTTCAATTCCAGACCCAAAGGACTGACTCAGGGCCATAGTCCCAGGGGTTTCACCAGTTCTCTATCAGACCAGTATACATAGCCTTTTATTTATTTATTTTTTTAATAATTTTTGCATTTTGTTCCACATTTTTCTCCCACTCTATCCAGGATCTCTCATTTTGACCCCTTTCCAAGTGTTTGGTATTGGTAGCTGAGCACCACCTAGTTATTCTGGTCTCAGGGTCATTTAGGTTGAGGTCTTCATGGTTCATTTATCTTTTGGACTAACTGTTTGCATGCGTCTTTGATTTTCTCCACTCTTCTTTGCTCTGATCTAGAAGAGACCAATAATTGCCACTTAGATGGCCACTTGCAAACTTTTAAGACCCAAGTCGCTGCTCACTAAAGTAAGATGTAGAACAATATTTTTGTATACCATGTTGTGCCAATTGAGCTTGATGTTCCATGTGGCAATCATCCCCAGCCCACAGGCCCAGCCACACACTCCTTCAAGGTGCTTGTTTGTGGCTAAGAAGTTGTCCTAATTTTGCCTCCTGTTATGTTTAAACTGCATACGGACATTTTTATAACACACACAAATACTTATGTAGGAATATCATATGCCAAACCACTGTATGGTCATGGGTATATTCCCATTTGTCTATCTACACCTGTCTACCTATGTATCCACCCATAGACCAGTGTTTGTTGTTACTGAGAATGCAGTATTGTGTGTGCAATAGTATCTGCTTTTACTGTCTGTACCTCTTGTGTGCTTCTCCGTGTCTTCCTTTTCCTGAGTGATATTGTGCTAGTCACATGCTTTTGTTATATTGCTTTTCCCTTCACCCATATCAACCCTGTCTCTTAGTTATCTATCCATTTTCCCTCCCTTTCACACCCCTCCCATCCCTGGTAAGAAAGAAAGAAAATTTTCTTTCCTGTGTAACCTTTTATTGACTTTTTACAATAATGGATTCATACAATATTTGTCCTTCTGTGATTGACTTATTTCACTCAGCATAATGTCCTCCAAGTTCATCCATATTATGAGGTGATTAACTGATTCTTCCTTATTCTTTAATGTTGCATAGTATTCCATTGTGTGTATGTACCATAGTTTGAATATACATACATTCATCTGTTGAGCGGCACTTAGTTTGTTTCCATCTCTTTGCTGTTGTAAATAGTGCTGTGATGAACATATGCAAATAACTTTGAGTAACTCCAACAACTTCTGCTTCCCTTCTTGGCTATTCCCTTTCACATTTCAGACAGAGAATATACTGCGTCTGTACAACGAACCTGAGCCTGTGAAGCCCTTCCTCTTCTACCATGACAAGAAAGGAAGAACTTCCACCTTCGAGTCTGTGGCCTTCCCTGGCTGGTTCATTGCCTCCTCAAAAATAGCCCAACCCATCATCCTCACTTCAAAACTGGGGGAAGCCTACAACACTGAGTTTGATTTAACTATAAAACTTTGAACTCAGCCTGGAGGTAGCAGCTTGGTCAAAGGTCTTTATCTTCAATCTAATTCCCAGCATGTTTTCATATACTATCTCAATGTCACTTTTACACCCATACTGAGAGGAGAGCAGAGCTGCTGTTATCATGTTATTTTGTGGATAAAGAGGAAATGTTAACTTTCATGGTAACTGAGGAATGGAATGTGGACTCAGAACCAGGAGGTATGGAATGATATATGGTTCTCCTCTCAAGATGAAGTTGTCCAGATCTGTACTAGTGACTTTAGGACCTAACGACCATGGGGCTTTCTTCTGAGGTGTATATGAAGAAACTTCAAAGCTCAGAAGAATCCTGTTCAAGATTGTGTGACTACATGAAACTGATCTTTGTTTTCTTTTTTATTTATTTTTATAACTTTTTATTGTCATTTGGTGAAAGTTTACAAAGCAAGTTGGTTTTCCATTCAATGATTCATATACACTCATGTATATGAATGACATTCACTGCAATCCCCACAATGTAACAGCACTCTTCCCACTTCCTTCCTGTGTTTACCATTTTCATTCTTTCTTTCCCATTCCTCCCTGCCTTCTGAGTTTTGTCCCTGGGCAAATGTTTCTCCTTTGATCTCCTATGGCTGATTGTTCTGAGGAGTGAGTATTTCCTTGGTGTTATTGTTCACCTAATAGTCCTGTCTGTTGTTTGACTGCAAGTTGATCCAAGAGGATGAATTCAGTTCCAGGCTTGAAGAGGGTCTAAAAGCCATAGTTTTGGGGGCAGTTTCTTTTAGATATCTGATGTGGTTGGGCTGGTGGCTATTTGGTAATATTCTTACTGGTGCTTTCTTATATTTTGTAAAGCAGTGATTACATGATAGATTTTATAAATGAGAAAGGCCATGAGGGGAAAAAATATTTTTATGTCATTCCAATGTGAATTAATTAGAACCTTACATCAGACTATTTTTGGATTTAAATCTAAGGCTATTCATAATTTTACGCCTATTCCCTACAAAGTTCCCCATAAGCAAGAGAAATATTTGTTTTTGCTTTGTTTCCTTTCCTTTTTAGATGATATCTTTTATAGTTTTTGTATGTTGCTAGTGTTCCTCAGTGTGTGTAATATATAAAGACCTTTTAATGGAAAATGATTCTTGTGTTAAATTAAGTTATATTTGTCCCAATTTTAATATATACACATAAAGCCCAATATTCCTATGTTTACACACAAAAAATGCTAAAATGGATGTAAAATGCAATAAAAGAAAACAAAGAGTAAACTGAAATAAGCGACAGTAATTGAATGAGGACAGCCTGGAAATAGGGCTTAGCTAAGGAATGAAGGGGCTTTGTCAGTGGTGAGTGGCTGGAGGCAGGGAATTACACATGTGAAGTGACAACTGTTGTCTGACAACTCTCTTTATAGTCTCACAGCCTTGTTTTCTCCTGAGTCCTCATTCTTTCTTTCTAGCCTTCCCAGCACCACTCGTTCCCTTTAAAAAGCACTGTAAGTTGCCTTTTAAGGAATAGAGAGCCTTGCTTTCCTACCAGCCGTGTTTCAGATGATGTGTTCTCATGAAACTTAGTAAGTGATTTTGGATGTAATTGTAGAAAGATGTAGCTCAAATCTGATTCCGTATATAATAAATTTCTCTATAATTGGCTTCAATACTACTGGTGCAGAAAATACTTATTTGCTTAAATACATTCTAGAAAGAAAATAGCACTAGTAATTAAAATTTTTTTCTTCCATTTTGCGACAATCAGATTGCATACTTTATTAGGAATGCCAGTAAGCAAACTTCAAGTACCAATTTAATGCAGAGTCTCTTGATTCTTTAAGTTTTCTTCTTCAGTTGAATGTAATTTTAGCATTGCAGTTTTATTAAAGTTAACATTAAAAATGAGCAGCTAAGCGAATTAGTTCTGGGATATCAAATAGAAGAATAAGTCATTGAATATTTATTATTATACTTACTGTTCACAAATGGTGATGCATTATTATGTGCTATATATAAATCACCATTAACTATATATAAGTAAATGGTGATTTACTATTACACTGATTGCTAATAAATAGGTTGTTACATAGACAATTGAGGTCTGATGACACATTTGTTATGACATGATTATGGTTCTGAGTGTCATCCTCATCCTACCATTATACTCACTGCTAATAAATGATAGTAGGTTGTTACATAGACAATTGGGATCTGATGACACATTTGTTAAGACATGATCACAATTCTGAGTGCTGTACAGCATCCCTATCCTACCACAGGCTGTGATGACTCAGTTCTTCCTCCTTTTCCTACTGCGAAAACCTTTGCTCATGCAAGATACTATGACACCTTGGTCTGTGACTTGGCACAGAGAGGAGCTCAAACAAAATCTCAAATACGAGCTCTGCTGTCATATGACTGGTCTTGGGGGTAAGATGGCCACTCTGATGATCCAGAGTAGACTCTAACTACAAGGTTGGAGTATAATCAAAACAAAAAGTTCATGCTACAATAATCTCATAGAGAGCTTGTGGGACTGAGACAGATTCCCATGGATCTTGATGTACACATCACATTTTAAAATTAGGGCACTATACCCTGGCTTATGAAACCATCCAATGCCTCTGTGAGTAGTGACACATTTGTTTTAAATTTTCAGGTGTTTGGCCTGGTTCACAAGGAGCCCTGGTGGCCCAGTGGTTAAAATGTTTGGCTGCTAACTGAAAAATTGGCAGTTCAAACCCACCAGCCTCCCACCTTGACTTAGTTAATTAAAATCCTTCCCCTTGAAATTTCTAGTTACTAACTTTAGGGCTGGGCTTAATAAATATTTCAGCAAAGACTCTAGGGCATGCTGATGATTAATCGAGCTTGGGAAATACTCTTTTGGACCATCCCAGTGGAGTTTTGTGTGTGAAAAGACTCAGATTAATCATGCTTGGGATGACCTGTGTGCTTCTAGAGAAATAGATATATAACGTTTCATATATATTTTGTGCTGATTTTGTTGATGTTTGATTCTCTGGAATTGCTCTCTCTTGAGTGATTTAAAAGTGAATTGAATAAAATTACTTATATAAAAGTGTTAAACTTTCTAACATAATTTGATAACACCCCAAAGCTGAAAAAAAAAAGGATTCAAAATTTTTATCAAGTGAATGGATAAATTATAGTATATTCATAAAAATAATGCTAATTATCAATTAAAAATATGAACTATGATGGAGATTCAACTAGGTGAATGTTAAAAACATTATTAAAGAAGTCAGACAGAAAAGAGTATGTATCATATAATTTCATTTATATGACATTCAAGAATAGGCTAAAGTAATTTGTGGTGGTAGAAACCAGAACAGCGATTTATTTGGCAGGAATGAGGACAAATAGAAGACCTTAAAAACTGTGTGAGAATTAAAACTGGTCAAATTTAACACATCAAAAAGCCACAGTGACTTTGTACTTCTCTACAGCAACGCGGTAAATTAGAAGCCAATGAAGCAATAGTTTCCTAATTCTGAAGGAAATGATTTTCAATCTATAATTCCACAGCCAGTCAGTATATCAGGTAAGTGAAGAATGAAATAAACACCTTTTCAAACAAGGAAGATTGATTTCTTATGTACTTTAAATGCTACCAAGCTTTGCCAAAATAAAGGATAACTCTAACAAACATGAAATATGGACTCCTGGAAATAGGGGATCTCACAACACCAGAGGGTGGTGAAGTGAGCCTGCAATATGGTAATAGAGAGAGGTTCCAAGAGGGGTCTGACAGAGTGAAGCTGTTCAGGAAGTTATTTGGAAGATAATAATGATTATGGTTTATTCTATGCCCTAACTGTCACTAGTGCTTACATAGTAATAATAATATAAATTCTGGATAGTGATTAATCGTCCAATTCAAAATGCTCAGTGTCAGTTGATTTCAGCTCACTAATAATATCTAGGATATCAATCTTTATGCATTCAAGGAAGAGATCCATATTTGTGCTTGTAAAAATGATGGGGCTGTGTCTGACCTCCTCAAACTTCACAAGCTGGGAGGAGGATCAACATCAGCAGCCCAAGGCTGCTTCCTGTGAAGCAGAGGTCAGACATGCCTCCACCCTCCAAACTTTTTACCAATTCTGACATCAACTGTCCCTCCCACACTTTCTTCTCTGCTGGGTTCAATAATTCATTGCAATGGCCATGCAGATCTCACACACAATACTCGTGATTATGGAGTTCATTAGGGAAGTAACACGTTACAATTCAGGATCAAAAACAATTCAAGATATAGTTCTCTCATTTTTTTAAAATTTTTATTGTGATTTGGGTGAAAGTTTACACAGCAAATTCACTTTCCATACAGCAGCTCACATTCACCTCACCTCAAGACATTCAGTACAATTTACCACAAGGCAATAGCTCACCTCCCACTTCCTCCTAATAGTTACCTCTTCCCTGAGTCCATCCCTCCATGCACTCCTGCCCCCTGAGCTGTCATCCTGTCCGTAAACACCCTTTCTTTGTCCCATAATTGACCTCTCCAAGGAGTGTATCTACCTAGTGTAAATGATCACCTCTTATGCCTGTCTTTTGTTTGGCTGGAAGCCACAGGTGTGGGTTCAATTCCAGACCTGAAGGGCAGCTAGGGGCCATAGTCGCAGGGGTTCCACCAGGCTCTATCAGACCAGCAAACCTGATCCCTTCCCCCCACCAAATGATTTTGAGTTTTGTTCCACATTGTTCTCCTTCTCTATCCAGGATCTCCTACATAGATGCCCCTCTGAGTGGTTGATAGTGGTAGCTGGGCACCATCTAGTTCTGATCTTATAGTCGTATAGTTGAGGATCACATGGTGTACCAGTCGCTTGGACTAATTGTTTCCATGAATCCTTGGATTCTTCATTCTTCTTTGCTCTGGATGAGGAGAGACCCATCATTGCATTTAGATGGCTACTTGCAAGCTTTTAAGATCCCAGTTGCTACTTACCAAAGTAGGAGGTGGAATAATGTTTTTGTGTAGTGTGC